GCGCCGGGCAGTTCTCCTTGTCCTCCCGGGTGTCCGGCGGGCCCTGCGCCTTCCTGAAGTAGCAGAGGCGGCACACGGCGTGGTACTTGTCGGCGCCTCCGATCACCTCCACCTGGCGGGGGGACACCAAGGGGCCTGCGCTCAGCCTGCGCGCACGCAGGGGCGCAGCGCCCCTCGCAGGGGTGCGGGTGCGGGGGGGCAGCTACCTCCTTCTCCGTGCCCAGGCGCTTGGTGTAGGCGGCCTCTCGGAAGCACCCCATGCACACGGCGTTCAGCTTCACCACGCTCTCCGCCAGGGGCACCAGGTTCAGGATGACCCCGAAAGCCTGCTCGTGGGGGGACGGGGGAGACTGAGGGGCCTGCCGTCGACATCCTCGGACCCGCAAGCACAGAAGCCAGGAAGCTGCCTTGACCCCTGCTCTCCCTGCCCCCTGAACAACAGGCCCTGCTGCAGAGGGCACGAGGTCCCGGATGGACACGCTCCCCGGGGTGCTGGGTCTGGCCCAGAGCCTGGGCTCTGCAAGGCCCAGCCATCCAGGGAGCCCTGGCTGGGCCGCCTGGTCAGTGTGCCCTGCCCTGTGCCTGCCCAGCCCCTTCCTCCCTCCGGGATCCCACCCCAGGACCTGGACCCGATGCCTCACCTTCCTCTGGAAGGTCCCATCCAGTGCAGCCACGATCACAGTCTTCCCGGCGTTGGCCATGGTCTCGCTGAACTCCACGATGTCAGGGAACTGGAGAGCGGGCGGAGGAGAGAGTGAGCTTCCACCTGGAGCAGCACGGCCCGCCCTCCACTCCGGGACAGGTCAGGACACAGGCCCTCGCACACCAGGGTCTCTGGACACTAGGAGGGTCCTCGGTCACCCACTCTCGACACTGATGCCCAGAAGGAGCAGGTTCTTCTACCCCGGAGGCTTTGTCCTGCTCACATGCCACGCCCACCCGGAGAACCCTGGGCCCCTGCAGGGCTTCCTGAGTCATCAGAGGTAAGGACAGAGTTGCCCAGGTTATCTGCTGCATTTCAAACGTCCACTGGTAACTAGTTGCTGGTATTTATTGCCATTAGTATTTTAGGTGATGTTTTGGGTTGAATCGTGTCCCCTCCTGCCCCCCCAAATTCATACGTTAAAATCCTAACCCCCACCACCTCAGAACGTGACCTTATCTGGAGACAGGGTCCCTGCAGAGGTCCTCCAGCTAAAGTGAGGTCAGCAGGGTGGGCCCCGATCAATCACTGGGGTCCCTATGAGAAGGGGTATGTGGACAGAGACACCACACGCACAGAGGTACCAAGGTGTGAAGACAGGCAGGGAGGAGACAGTCGTCCACAGGCCAAGGGGAGAGGCCTGGAACAAAAACCGCTCCCCGCCTCAGACCAAGCCAGCCCCGCCCACGTGACCAGGCTCCCAGAACTGTCAGAAAATAGATTTCAGTTGTCCAGGCCTCCCAGTCTGAGGCGCTCCTTATGGCAGCTGGAGCACTAATACAGGTGATGTTTACAACGGGACCCCAAAGTACTTAGTAACTGTGGCGCTTCCTTGGTAAACAGAAAATTGCAGTATGGGGTCCAGGTAGCAGAGGAAGACTGTGATGAGTTTGCCCACTGGGGCTCCTGGGCCAGCTCTGCACCCCCGGGGACCTACAGCGAGCCACTTCCAGAACAGGGTCTGATGGGGGCGAGAAGCCAAAGGGGAGACCAGGGGGCCTGGAGGTGGGTCTGCACCCCCGTCATCGTGTTCCCGAGAGCTGGCCGGCTCAGGTGGCAGCCGAACGACCTCTGGCTCCGCTTCCTGGCAGCCACGCTGGCATTGAGGGCACACAGGCCACCAAGGACAGGAATGAAGGAGGTGGCAGTAAAACATTCAACAGCGAATGGTGAAAGGCTAAAGGGAAGGCCAGACAGCACCCAACGGCAGATGAACAGGGAAGAAATATTTCTAGCACATGACCGAGCGGCACCGGGTATGGCACGTCCATTAGATAAAGGACAAACCAAGAGAGAAATGGGGGCAAGCCCTTAACAGGTCACTGACCACGGAGAAACGAATGCAAGTGGCTAAGAAGCGTGGAGAAGGATGTCAGCCACAGTAGGAATCAGAGAGAAACGCAGTCCGAACAGGATGCGTGTTGACCAGCATCCATTAAAAAAACAGAACAGCGCCTGGCCGGCGTGGCTCAGCGGTTGAGCGTCGACCTAGGATCCAGGAGATCTCGGTTCGATTCCCGGTCAGGGCACAGGCCCAGGTTGCGGGCTCGATCCCCACTGGGAGGCGTGCAGGAGGCAGCCTATCAGTTACTCTCTCATCATTGATGTTTCTCTCTCTTTCTCTCTCTGAAATCAGTAGATATATTTAAAAAAATAAAAAAAAGCAAATTGTTATATACAGATGAGTAGCAGATATAAAAACGGAGCTAACCAGAAATCCTCAAATTGGAAAATGTCCCTCAAAACCCCACACACGTACGCCGTGCCTGGAGCACAGAAACCAAGCCGCAAGCGCTCACAATTAGAAGGTGCCCGGAACACGGAACAGGAGAAATTAAAACAAAACGTCTGGGACACGCTGTTCTGAGAGCAGAGGGCTGATCCGCTCAGACAATAAGCTACAGGGTGACAGTGACCACCTCATCCCTACAGCAGGGCCGATGTGTTTCCCAAGAAACAAGGAAAACGGTCAGCCTACCATTTGCCGCCCAGCTTAACCCAGAGAATAAAATAAAGACGAGAAAGGGGAACAGCCGGGGGGCCTCCCAGGAAGACCGAGGCCAGGACAAGCCAACTTACGAACTGCCCCTCGTCGATGCCTATGACGGTCACGGCCATGGCCTCCTGGACCACGTCCTGCAGCAGGCTGGCAGGCAGCGCCTCCATGGTGTTCCTGGGGGAGAAGGCCAGAGCATGAGCAGGCCGGGGGACCCAGGAGCCCGGAGCCGGAAGGCAGGGGCCGGGGCCAGCGCTGGCGACCACCTCTGCTGGCAGGACAGGCTGCCATGTCTGCCTGGAGGGGGGCGACCTCAGCGCCCAGGCCAGGCATCTGGGGAGATGAAGGGCCCTCGTGTGGGAAACTGGTTCTTCTACACAAACTATTTCACCGCAGCTCAGGACTAGAAATGGGCGATGCCGCTGATGTATGGCCCTCCTCCGCTTCTGCTCAGGGCCCAGGGCAGGCAAGGGGACCTCCTTAGGCAGTGTCCAGGCCCATGGTAATTTTAGGGGCCAACAAAATGTTTTCATTTCATTTAAAAATCAGAAGAATATGCCCTGGCTGGTTTGGCTCAGTGGTTAGAGAGTCAGCCAGCAAACTGAAGAAGGGTCCCGGGTTCAATTCTGGCCAAAGGCATGCACCTTGGTTGCAGGCTGGATACCTGGTTGGAGGCGCATGTGGGAGGCAACCAATCGATGTCTCTCTCACATTCGATGTCTCTCTCTCCCACTCTCTCTGAAAAGCAATGGAAAAAATATATTTCTTAAATAAGTAAAAATCAGGNTCTCTCTCTCCTCTCTCTCTCCCACTCTCTCTGAAAAGCAATGGAAAAAATATATTTCTTAAATAAGTAAAAATCAGGAGAATAAATAGAACTCAACTTTGTATTACATTTGTCTTCATATCAGTGCAGTCGTAAAATATTTTGTATTTTTTTTCCTTTGGTTGAAGAGACTCACGAGGCAAACACCCAAGGCCCAGGAAGGCTGTGAGGCGGCCGCGGGCAGACCACTGGCCCTGGCTCTGGGCGAATCCTAGAATGCCCGGGCAGAGCTAAGCCCGGATTCCAACAGCAATGAGCTCGGTGACCTAGGGGATTTTCCTCCCCTTGGCGGCTCAAGCCAATGAAGGGATTTCTCCTCGATCACAGTGATTCACTGGCAGAGCCAGGACTCAACCTGCTGTCTCTCGGGTCCCGGGGGCAGAGTCCTACCCAGCAGTTTGAAAAGGCCAAGGGGTGGGAATGACACCCTGGCCCCCACACCCAGAGAGCCTTTGGAAGAGGAATGCTGTTCTTTGGCCTCTCCCCTGTTAAACAGTTTCCTTGTGTTTCTACAATGTTGATTCCTTCTGTTTCCACTTTTGCCTGCTCCTGAGCTGGCCCTCAGGGGAGCTGGCAGTCTCCCCAAGGCTCAGCAGCTTGCAGCTGCATTTATAAAAACATAAAGCGCCTCACAGCTTAGTTATTACCTTACTATCTTGCCATCTTCCTACTATTTTGCGCATTTTAAATCACCCCTCCCGCCAGGAGATAGAGAAAAGCAGAGGGCGAAAAGCAGAGGGCGGGCAGGAAGCAATGTTCCAGCGGCAGCAACTGGGAGCTTCTGGGAGCTCCATCACGCCTGCCAAGCACTCAGTCACCGCCCCTGCAGGACTGTGACACTCAGCCAGAGCTCAGTTTAACCCTGATCTGACTGACTCCGGAACGGAACCTCTAATCACTGCAGGGTTGCCTGCTCTGCTTTTACGGTCCTCCCTGGATGCACCCCGTCCTGTGCGGGGGACACGTTTTAGGAACCAGGAAGCAAACTGGGAGGCATGAGTGGACCCGCGTCAGACAGCACAGCTCGGAACGTCACTCTAACTCCAGACACTTAACTCCAAGTCCCTGGCACTCTGCCCCACTACCCATCTGGCCTCAGAAACCCCAGGCTCCCACGGCATGGCTTGGCTGCCTGCCGGGCGCTCAGGTGGACAAGTCTGGGGGACCGAGAAGCTCAGAAACACCAGGCCCCAGTCTGCTGCCAAGGAGGGGGCAGGAGGGAACGAAATTGAACCCGGGCCTCAGGTTGCAGACCGATAAACATAAAACAGGGACCCGTGAAGGCCACAAGACCACAGGAGTCGGGGAGGACCAGCCAACCGAACAGTTAAATAAAAACCAGCGTGAAGGCCAAACAAAACCAGCCTGCAACGTCTGCATAAGCATCAGCTCCAGAGCAGAGCTCTCAACCCCGGCAGGCGCCACTGACCACCGTGCGGGTCACCGTGTCGTGGGGCCGCCCTGCCCATTGCAGGATGCCCAGCAGCATCCCTAGCCCCTCCACCAGTTGTGAAAACTGAAAACATCTCCAGATGTTGCCAAATGGACTCTGGGGGACAGAATCGCCCCTGGTTAAGAACCACTGGGCTAGAGCCCTGTGAGAGGCAAAATCCCCAGCTACCACTGGGCCAAGCAGCCTGCAAAGTTTGCCGACTGGGACATTCAGTGCCAGGCACTTGTGTTCTTCCCCAACCCACGAAAGCGCTCTGACAGCAGGTCTGTGCTCTGTGAATTTTCACCGGCCGCTCAGATGGGGTGTCAGGACAGGAGGGAAGGGGCAGGGACTGACCGGTCATGCGTGGAGAACTTGCTGCTGTACCGCGTGTCTTTGGCGTATTTGATCACCAAGCACTTGTACTGGGCAATCTGGAAGCGCTGGACCCGTCTCATCAGCTCAGTGCTGCAGAGGCAGAGCGGCAGGTGAGGCCCAGGGCAGGAGGACAGGCGAGGAGGACCATCAGCCCAGGCCAGGCTCCCCACCACCTGCTAGGGGCTTACAGACACGTGCTGACGGACAGAAAGACCGCAGGGCGGAGCATGGGAGAGACCAGTGAGGAGGGGGGTCTAGACCAGAGGGATGTTAGCAAGTGTGCCTGGGAGCCTGGGGTGGGGGGAGGAATGGAGGGGTAAGTTTCTCAGGACTCTGGGAACAGGGCACAGGTAATCTCCCGGAGCTCTTCACAGTCCGAGCTGACTTCACAAAAGCTTTCTGCTGGGTCCAAGAGCCCACCCTGAGCCTCACCCTTGTGGGCCAGGGATTGGGGCTGGAGTGTTCCCCAGGGTCACATACAAAAGGGCCAGGGAGTTTCCGAGGGGCTCCCTAGCCCCAGCTCCTCCCGTTCTATCCCATGGGAGGAGCGTCTGGGGAGCAAAGACGCGCGGCTGAGCTCAGCGTGGACAGGACGTTGGGGGGCCACCTAAGGAGGGTCTCCTCGTAAGGAGGCGCAGATCCTGCGGGAGGCACAGGGCCTGCCCCCAGCGGCCCGATTCTCAGAAGACTCGGACCCGGGCGGGCAGAGATGCCTCCTCCGGGACCAGGCAGCGGGAAGGCGCGGCGCCCCGGGGGCGCGCGGAGGGTGTCCCGGCGGGAAGGCGGCCGGGCGGGGACGCAGGGCCTGGCAGTGGGGGCTACTCTAGAGGAGGGGGCTCTGACCAGGACCCCGGGTGGGTGGTCCCGGACCCTCCACCCCGCCCCGCGAGGCCTTTACCTTTTTCCTGAGAACATAGGTCCGAAGATCACCTAGGAGAGAAGGAGAGGTGAGTTCGGGACCCCCGCTGCGCACAGATGCGGGGGGAGGGAGGGACCGGCGACGACCCCGACCCGGACCCCGAGCCCGCGCACCTGGATCTGCCCCCGGGCCTTGCTGGGGGAGCCGGGCAGCACGGCGGGCAGGTTCACGCAGCTCATGGCGCTCGGGGGGCGGGGGGGTTCCCGCGCGCCCGCCTTTATCCGCCGCGAGCGCGCCAATCGCTGTGCGCGCGGGCCAATCGCTGCGCTCCCGCGGCGCTGGCGGGAGAATTATTACGATCTTTTAACTATATCATTATTGGTTTCAGAGAGAGGAAGGGACAGGGAGAGAGAGAGAGAAACACCAGTGACACGGGAGTCATGAGTCGGCTGCAGCCCGCAGCCCGGGCACGTGCCCCGGCCGGGAACCGAGCCCTGACCGCCCGGA